AAAAAACACAAAACAAAACAAAGCAGGGTATAAAATCAGATTTAATTCTCTTATTACCTCCGTGAGTTGTCATATCACAGTAGACTTTCATAGGGTTTCCGTTGCCCTCTGGGTCTATCCAGTACTCTCCGTTAATCAAGGGATGCTCAGTCCTCCTTATGTCCATACAAGATCGCCCGAGTTTTAATGAGTGAAATCCTCGTCTCTCTAGAAAGAAATGGAAGTAAATTAGACGTGGAAAAATTGCGTTGATCTTCAAAGACTGTTTCTAGTCATTGTCAGCTTTTTCGGGAAACTGTGAAACGAGGGAAGAATGAGGAGAAACGAGGGGCGAAAAGAGAAAAAATTTAATAAATGAGAAACTAATTTTGACCACCAAGTTGCAGCAAGAGACTAACTGACAAGAAACGAGTCACAACGAGAGGCTTTGCTATACTCTCTTCTCAGTGCAAGTCTAAAGAAACCAAAAACCGTGGACGAGAATTGAAACGAGAAATTGAAGCAGCAAAAATATTAATAAACGAGTCGCAAGATACCAGCAACGAGAAACAGGGAATGTGAAAGACTAAACCAGAAATAATTAAACAGCTATTGAGTAACATGCTTAGAAACGGGATACGAAGAATTTACAAACTGGATAACGAAATGATTGCCATCGAGTTTAGCTTCGTTCCTACCCTTTCCATAATATGTGAATCCATTGGCTGGTATTAGGGTCACTGGGCTAAGGTGCCACGTTTGGTCGTTCAGCTCACAAAATTTATTACCATAGTAATTGTATGACCAGCATTTCCTGTTCCTTACACATCGTAATCCACATTCGAACGCGTCAGCGTTACAAGTTTCAATGACGTGTCCCACAAGCCTAAAGTCTGGAATTATAAGCAACACAGAAAAGATCGATCAACGTATGAAGCAACAAAGCACGGTTGAAATTGCACACCGTCACATAGAACTCTTTCTGTAAAGGAAGACGTTGACCTGTATCACGGTAATTGGACAAAGAACCCCTGCTCACGCTGCCGGATATTTTGACAACTAAGGTTTAGAACACTCTTTTCGTGAGCTAGGCAACATCGACCTCATTTTTAGAGAGCCCTTTTTTGCACTCTCTTTCATAATAAGTTTACTATGTTGATGAAATTAGGAGATCCTCGCAGCTAAGAACACCACTGGAACGATTAGTTGTAAATAGGACCTGAAAAAAAGGCTTACTATGTATTTCCTTTTTTAAATGGTTCGCTGAGGTTAACTTAAACTAGCTATACTGTTGTATTTAGATTCTTGTACATTATCAGATAAAGTGGGTATCCCTAACAGATCGCGTTGCATTGAGCAATAGTGTTGTGTCATGTTATTGTGTTGCAAGGTGTGCTATCATTTGTCTTCTTATCATCTGTGAAAAAGGAAAGGTTTGTGGCCTTACAACTCAGCTCACAAAGGTGCCAAACTAGTATATGGAGAGCGTGGGCCGTTGGAACCTTGGTATTCTCTTCCTTTTCTTTCTGCTACGACTGCTATTGCAATTGACCTATGCAGATCAATTTTCGACTAGTTATAACCCGCACGTCTTTAAAAACATGACTTATGTCATAAACACTAGTTTCACGACCTCCTAGTTGTAAAATTTAAAGGCTTACATAACTCACCGTTGCGACTTTTAAAAACCTGATTTTGCTCCGAGACCATGCAATATGCTGTTCTGATGGCAAAACTCCCCGCGTAGGTTATAAGTAGTACTGTGATAATCACAGGCCAGCACGACTGTACTCTCATCTCCTTGGCGATAAAACCAAACATTAGGTTGAAGTGTTAAGAGTGAAGTGGTGAACAAGGACAAGTGGTGGCCTCACTTATTCAAATTCTAAAACCATAGATACTATGAGTACCCCTTTCTTTTGCTTCTAACTGTTAGTCAAGAGAACTAGGGTTCTTATCCAGACATTGGAGCTTTCAGTAAGTTTTCGTCAACTCTCTTATCTGCGTAGTGATGTGTTGATATTGTCAGGGGCAGATATACTTTCAAACACAAATAAACTGAATAATTTATGGCTCAATCGTGAGATTGGATGTCAGTTACTTCTGGCCATGTGAGTCCCGAGGGGAAGATAAGCCAGTGATTCAGTGGGACCATAACCGCAGTACAGCATTAAAACCTAACGCTGAGTGGCTCAATTCTGATTAACGGGATGATATATTTGGCAATAAACCCACACTCTGAATTAGTTCTTGCTGCTAAACTTGATTCCTAATTACCTCAAATATAAACTCACTAGGAAAAATTTTTCACCAATTTCCATAACATTCGTTGAGTTTATGAATGGAAAGCAGCTGGAGGCAGTTCTTTAATAATGTAGAAGTAGAATTGGCGAAGTTATAACAAATGGATATTAGGAGGAAAATTCAAGTCTGTGACGAATTAAATCTAGGAGCCATGGGCACATTTGAACAGATTCTCTCATTTACAGGAAGTTGTTTGGGTGCCAAGATATGTAACTCCGTCTATGCTTTCTTTGACGCCATTTCAAATATATTTGCAACTGTAGAAATAAATATCCTCCCAATGCATATTAATGCAGAAAGAAGTTTTCTTTACCATTTCGTCTCCACTGCTTTAGAAAAGGCATTGGTGAAATTCTAAAGTAAAAAACCCAATCTCAGTCGTGTCAGATCTATGAAAATGGGAAATTTATAGGTAAGAATTGGAACATGTACATAACATGTACAAATCTCACCTAGTGCGTAAGCTTTTTTCTTGATAAGCCCCATTACTTTTGCATCGATCCTTTTTTAGTTAATGATATAGACTCAAACAACTAATCCTCTTCTAATAGTTTGAAACCAGTGTAGTTTCCCGAGGCTGATAAAAAAAATTATAACAATACGTCGGTCGGTTTGTTGAACTAAAAAGCGATTTCTCTTTCAGAATTCGCAAACGTTTGTGTAGCTGTTCCGGTTCGGACAACAATTAACCTTTTGAAAATGAACTGCTAACTTTTTTCCACAGAGAAATTTGCTCCTTGAAAGTTACTCTTCCGGTCTGAAAGAACAATTTTTTTTTTTTGCCACGCATGAAAATCTTATGGCAAATTATAATGGAAAGAAAAAATGTATCTTGTACCTTTCCAGCACAGCTCTGAGTGTCGTCTGCGACCAATCTACTCAATAATGTATCAATGTTGATGGCAAACTAATCTATAACTTCACGTAGTTCAATAAAAGTTCCAGCTAATTTATGTTTTGATCTTACGAAAATCAAATATTTGATTATTTCATCACTGTCGTTGCCAATTATTTAAAAAGCTGTGCAAAGGATTTTTTCAAAAACTTTCCATCTTATTAAAAACTTGCAAGACGTGCCATATGTCAACTTCAATACCGTTCTCAAAATAAGTAATCGTTAATTTTTTGGCTGTCCTGGAGTAAAAATATGCTAACAGAATGAAAGGAAAATAAAATGTTCCATCCACTATTAATTTATCTCCTATTATCATCACTACTTAATACTTAAACGCGAAATTCCGAGGCAAAAAAGAAAAGCGAATTTTACACAGTTAGACAGTTGATTTCGGTAAATCCTTGAACAAAACAAATTCGCTAATTTCCCTCTTTCATACACCTGAAATTACCGTGATAGGAAAATATCTACTTTGTATGGATAAACGGAACGTAGAAGGCACGATTCAATTTGCCTTGGTTTGCTTTGTTTGAAATGCCTTCTCTTTTTGTACTTTGGTGTTGATGAAATAAAAGTCAATAGAACTTTTATATTTCATTAGGTTATAATTGCTTAAATTCATATTCAACAAACAATGTAATAACCCTCCAATTTTTCGGTTTGATGACTAAATTGCATTTCTTTCGAATTAAAACTTACAAAATATCCATATAGATATGCTTATGCAATAACAACAATACATTATAACCCTTAAACTCCCAAGATCCGATTGCCGATTCTCTCCTCTGGCTGCTACACATTTCCCTGTAAATTATATATGAGACTTGGTGCTAGCTCAAGATAGCAGCTTCCATCTGATAATTTCGAATACTCTCTTTAACTGTTTACTGTATAATGCATGGATATTATAGGGAAAGTTTCATGTTAATAACATTTGGGAGTAAATGGGTTAACAGGAAGATGGAATTATAAACAATTTCAAGAGCGTGGGACATAAGAAAAATAAATAAATAAATCACGCAGATTAGATCGAAATTTATGAAGTTCAATCCCCATTTTCCATCGAGTTATGAACCGTCATTTTCCCAGTTGAGAAGTTTGGTCGTTCATTCTTTCGAACGAGTTATATGAGGAGAGAGGATCATCCGGCTGTCAGTTGAAGTGCTGGATGAGAGTTTCACCAGTGCTGTTAGCAGCCGTGATCACGAGGAACGTGCGTCCCTATTGTTTGCTACCGTAACAGTAGAAACGCGGTGGTGTACAATTTGGGCAGGCGATTAATATTGGATCTGTCGATCAAGAGTTGCATTGCTTTGATATGATAATGTTGTTATGGCAACAACATATGACGTCGTAACATAGCTTCGGAGGTAATTCTTCTCGTTTCTACGGTGTGGCAATGTAACTCCTTAGTAACTTTTGGGAAGAAACAAACAGGATGGAAGTCATCTTGCTGATCATATTCAATAGATAGAAAGTTATCCTTGTGCAGCTAATAGAAAAATGATTTTCACCACTACTTAAGTGATGTTCATAACTGCGAGGATCGCTTCCATATTCGTTTTTTTCAACCGCAGTTCACATATACGATTTTCGTATATTTGCATTCATTTATTCACCACTTCGAGGGTTTATTTGGAACCAACATAATAACCAGCTTCCGGTTGGCTTGTTAGCTCAGTTGGTAGAGCACTGCACCGGTATCGCAGAGGTCATGGGTTCAAATCCCGTACAGGCCTGATTGTTTTCAGGCCATATTTTCACTATTTATTCGTAGTGTTCATAACCGCGAGGATCGCTTCCGCATTAGACAAATGATTTATCATCAATTAACTCGCATGCATCCCGAGGAATGAGCTAATTCAACGAAGTACTCTGAACAAAAGCGTATTGCATTGTCCACTGTTTATAGAGAATTAAGGAATTAATCAGCTTGAATAAAAAAAATTGGTCATGCCCAGAATCTTTAAATTATATGACATTGGAAGAATGTTATCTGCCAGGTTATATGCTCTGATTACATCCGTATGCTATTATAATAGTATTTTTTAAAAAGGTAAGTTTCTACTTCGAAATGAAGAGGCTTAAATTATGTCTTTAGGAATAAGTGGTTTCCATTGTACGAAGCCACTTTTTGAGTGCGGGTTCGAAAGTGTTATAAAATATTGTCTTTAGGCAGGAAAAAAAACCCGAGATAATCATTTGTAAGAGTGTAAGGTTGAAATTTTTGGCGTCTCTGCTTTCTAATGTCTAAGTTAAGCGTTTTCAATATTAATGTTATACGGAAACGATAATTTTTTATACTAATTTTTTAAAGAAACGATAATTTTCTCTATTAATTTTATACAGAAACGATAATTTTCTACATTAATTTTATACAGAAACGATAATAGGGTGGATAATGGCACACTTTCAGTATAATCGTAGGCTATTTTTCACACAAGTATTTGAGCTCTTTTAATGTGATAATACAAAAAAAGAGAGAGGTTATAATTTACTCAAACTGGTGTGTTCGCTACATCGTGCACCTTTAAGCAAAAGGGTGCCTGCTTTTTACCTTACTTTAGAAGGGAATTTATTATGGTAATAGGACCGAGTGGAGTCCAATTCGGTCTGTTATCATACGAGTGATCAACAAAATTGGACCATCTCGGAGCGGGAGTCCGATTTGTTAGTCCGATTATCGAATGTGATTATAGACAGAATTGCACGACAAGAAGGCCTGTTACCAATAAATAAAAAATGTGATAAAATTTGAGAAAAGAAAGTAGATATCGGTTATAAGTTTTCATAAAAACTGGCAACAGTTAACCCGTCGAAATGCGAGACAACACCGCACGCACATGACGTGTTCTGTCCACTTTCACAGGCATGACGTGTTAATTGCCCCTTTAACTGTCCTATTACACTGTCTTATTACAAGCATGACGCGTATACTGTCCTATAAGTACTCAAATCGGGCTGGTGATAACCAATCACATTCGAGAATTTTTGTAATAGTTTGTCACAGTAGTACTTTCCAAATTTACCTCAAGTTTGTACCCGGACCAACATAACTTTGCAAACACTTTGAATTGAATATTCCCTTGTGAATAGCATACAAAACAAAGGGCTTAGACCTTGAACCATTGGGTTACTGGAGGTCTTCTTGTCAGTTTAATTGGTAAGGCAAACTGATTCTTAACAACAATTTTAGCTTCGCTTCCCTTTTATCCAGACTAATCTTCTGAAGATTTTATTTTAACTCTTAGCGAAAGAGGATTTTCTTGGACTGATATTGCCATGGCTACAAGATCTGATTCCATGAAATGAGTTCGGTTGTGTTACGTCATATTTCGGTTAAATGGAAATTTTCGTAAAATCAAGGATGGCAGCCATCTTGAACGCCATCATTGCGGATGACTTCACGTTCTGAAATAGCCTGAAAATACACCTACCATTAATTGGTGCACAAAATTATGTAGATTGAGGGCTAAATGGAATTTAAACAGACTTAAAACTAAAAAACTATTTACAAATTTCTTACAGTGTACAAAATTCCAAGATCTCGTTGGTCAACAGGTGGTTCCTACATGTAATGAACGATTTGTTAGGTTTTTGACTTTTTTCCCGATGAAGAAGTTTGGACCATTGCCAGATCGATGGACATGTACTGTTTGGCTGTGATCTACAACTGTGCAAGGAACGGCTCAGGAATCAAGAGGTGTTTTGTATGGGTTTCCTGACGGATAGTTGATCCTGTTTACGAGGTGCCCTCATGGAAACAGGCATATGCACTCGGAATTTCAACGCACATAAACTTTCCAAACATCACCGGGTGATATCGCTATTAAATTACTTCCATTATCATCATCACACCACCATTTACCCAAAACGGCCACCCAATGATATTCTTCTGGAATGAAAGCTGCGTGATTGTACATCCTACGCTCTCCACGGTGTTTATGATGTCCCCACTTTCCAGCGTATTTTGAGCCGTCATTTCCCCATCTATCACACTTTGAAGCTAATCGGGAGTTATCTCCCTGCATTCTTTCAAACGAGTTGCAAGAAGAGGGGAGAACGTCCGTCTGGCCGCTGAAGTACTGGACCACAGCTTCACCAGAGCTGTTAGCAGCTGTTGTCACGTGGAAAGTGCGTCCTTGTTGTTTGCTGCAGTAGAATCTTAGTTGAGTGAAAGACAAGTGGCTTCTGAGTTCTTTCATGGCGCTCAGTCTGATACCCATTTCGTTGTTGGCAAAGTTGCTGATCCCGCGGTATGATGTCTCAGTGGTCCATTTCTTGGGCGGTTTAGAGCTGAGCATCTCCAAGTTAGCGACAAGAAGCCAGCCACCTGTTACAAACAACACTTTTAAATCGACTCGTTGCAATGTAAATGGTTTAAACAATTCGATACCGAATACTGAGCGTGGAAAAGACAAGGAAAAGCTTGAAAAGATTACTAGATAAGTTATAAGCTTTTACCTCCGTCGGTTGTCATGTCACAGAAAACTTTCAAAGGGTTTCCATTTTTCTCAGGGTCGATCCAGTACTCCCCGTCTTCCAGGGAATCTCTTGACTCACGAATGTGTTTACAGGAGTCGCCAGGTGAGGAGGAGCTCGATCCAATATTTTCTAAAGATCGTAAGAATAAACAAACATTCATTAGGTTAAATTTCTCATCTTTTTTTTTGAACAAAATAATGAATTTCTTCTTTTTTCTACCATGTCCTATTGTTGAGAAATTCATTTGTCGTTCATCTCGAGAAATGAAGCCAAACTATTCCGCAAACAAATCCGCGTTAATCTTTTTTATCCTCGACAATCATTGTGTCTTCATGTTTTATTCTTCATCAGGTGTTGGAGCTTTTCTTTCTTACTGAACTTATACTTTTGCTGCCGTGTCAAGGGTAATTTTGCAATTCGTAGGAAGCAATTATGATTTGCTTCTGTATATAAGACTTCTTGTACATCTCTGTGCTGCGTTTCGTGATTCGGCGCACCACTGAGTGCATCGGCAGTTAACGCGGATCCCATCGAAACAAATCAACTTATTGAAACTGTGCTAGCATTTGTGAGGAGCATCAAGCAAATCTGTAAACTGTCATCAGAAATACTGCACCGAGTTCTTTCTTTCTGCACATTCTGGGGTGAATTGTTAGATCAGTGACTGTACTCGACTCAAGTTTCACTCACCTGATTGGTTGATGGTTCCACTAGATCCAGAGTTATTCTGTTGATGACTCCATCTCCCAAGGTCTTCACGAACAAAATTTGAGTTTATGACCTGCAGCTGGTGAGGAGAGGTATTGAAACCGCATAAATTAAAGCGTACATTCGCGGACACTTTCATCCCTATTTTCAGACAAGTTATATTTTGCCCCTCTTCTTAGAGGATATTCTACTTCAGAACACTCTGATTTGCATGGTGGATAATGAAAAGAAAGAATGAGGAACACAAACATAACGCGTGTTTTTCTTACAGTATTCAGTAGAGGAGTGGCTCGATATACGTTAATTTGCACCAATTTTTCGCTCCAAATTTTTTGCACCTCGACCCTTTGGGTTGAAAATCAGCTGTTACTGCACAATTTATAACTTGTGATGCTTGCCGAAAGTATAAAAGTAATCGAAATCTCCTCAATAGTTTCTTGAACTGGCCAATTTACAGAGGGACTGTTAGAACCTTTCTGTGCATCATAAAGGACGAGGACATTCTATTTTGCCAAAACCGTAAATGTGAATGCAAGTTCGGCAGTGATTCTGTGGTTCTGCCAATTATAGCGCTGCTCTCAAATTAAAAGGTAAACGACTATTTTTATCATTTTGAATTGGTTTATTGATAAAGGTTTTTGCTCTCATCTATGGTCAAAACCTTCTGACTGTTCATCAGTCGTACTGACAAATTTACACCTTTTTAGCCTGTACTTAAACATGTCTTTTGATCGGGATTCGTTTTTAAATCTTTTCAGTTTTTCAGATTTGCCATTAACCCCCTATCCCTTTCACAAATCGTAGGACTTTCTAAATGTTATCAGAACAAAAACAAAACAAAACAAATGTTATTGAAGCTTCACGATTGAATTCTCTCTGTTGATAAATTTTAGCTGTATGTTTTTGCTAAGAAGCATTGAGAACTATTACGATCATCGCGGTCTCTGTGAGTCTGGTATCTGACGATGGGAAACAACAAACCTGCAGTACTTCAAAGTAGGTTACACCCTGATTTGCCACAAAGTCTTTTGGTTTGGACCTTCTTGTTTCGTTGTTTAAATAGCACATGGAACCGAGGCTCTGAGCACGAAAACAGTTATATGATCGACATCTCTCGTTTCTCAAACACCGCAATCCACACTCCACATCTTTGCTGTTACACACACTGATCACGTGCCCATGTAAGGAGTAACCTGCAGATTAAAGAACAGATCTAAATCTTTTCATCTTGAATGAACAGGTGAATATTTGTGATCATGACACTGATGTGGAAATGCAAATGATGGACAAAATCACGGTTAACTGTTATAATATGATCGAAAATAAAGTGGTTCGACTCCCACTTTGAATTTTCCAATTTCTTTTTCCCGGAGAAGTCCAAAGTTTTTAGACTCGATCAGTTTAGAGACAGGCCAGTCACGTTACAGTGCTTTTTTCATAAAGTATAAAATGTTCTTTCTCCTACCTTCGTATCTTTCAAAGACGCCTGAAGCTGATTCTGTGCAAAATACGAAAGGTACTTTAAAACTGCAAAAGAAACTGATCTGAAGCAAACACTGCAAAGCTGTTAAGATATTTTTGATTCGTCTCGTCATAGTGCTTTGAAAAGACTGCAGAGAGCTCGTGCTTTCGACAGCGATAGAAAAACAGCAGTGGATTCTCTTCTTTCTAATGAAAAATACTACGATGTTTCTAACTTGCAGGTTTCCTTTAAGTATTTACCCTCTGCTGACTTTATAACGATACGACATTAACCTTCAATCGATTGCGGTAAGAGAACTAAATCTATTCTTTTTAAATAGTAGAACGATATAAAATATTAATGGTGAAAATAAGTAACCATAATGGGAAAACATGTTTGCTTTTTGTGAGTGAATAGCAAGCTATGAAACAAAAGACGAAAAGCATAGCGTCAAAAAAAAAAATTACTTGTTCATAAAATATAGGTGCCGCCCCTAAATTTTAGATTTCCAACAGTTTTCCTATTTTTGCCAATAGGCACTGAATCAGACAAGTTTCCTGATGCTGTTTCAACCATGAGAACCTCGAAATGGATGCCGCTCTACAAAAAGACTTCTTGTTCAGCGTCAAGTGACTTCTTCAAATGATTTAATGTTGAGGAACTTTCTGAGTACTCGCTTTATTCCGCCTAAGCTACGTGAGTTGTCCCTGTACCGAAACGTGAAATTTGTAAATATATGTATCATTCATTAATAACAGCGTGATTCTGCAGAGAAACTCTTTTAACTTGGACAACTATCGAGAGCCGGGGAGTCAAGTTTAATCAAAGTGCTATTAAAAGGAACTAATGCGTCATAATTACTTTGATGAAGTCGACGTCTTACTGAGTAAGAATTAACTATACATCAAAACGAATCACATATAACAAGAAGAATTCGCCAGCTCCGAAAGCTCCTCCCTCTGACGCCGGCGACGTTCAAATTAATACCAGTTGCAAGCAGGCCTTTAATTTGACAAATGAGAACCTCAGGAACTTAAAATCTTCATCAAAACTTAATGAAAATGTGCACAGTATGATTTTTCAGAAATGTCTCTTGGTAAACTTGCTATTGTATGGGAATCCTGTTTTTTAAATGTCTTTTTTAGACCAGTAGAGGACTTTTGCATCATGCACTGGTTACAAAAGATGCAATTTAAGGGCAGCTGATTAGTTGAACAGAAACCTACTGTGATCAAGTTGAAATAATTGTTTTTGCTTCTTTGCGCTGTAATGGTCTTTCCTATTGCAGCACAGGTCACTTTGGAACTTTCCAAAAGAGTGGTTTCTTTTGATTCACTAATTGCATTGCAATTAGTGATGATAACAGGGGCGAGTGGAGTCCAATTTGGTCTGTACTCATACGAGTGATTAACAAAATCGGACGACCGCGCAGCAGCAGTCTGATTTGTGAATCACTCGTATGATTACAGACCGAATTGAACGAAACGAAGTCCTGTTACCAATTAATCATAACCGTTGTAATTTCCGAAAAAAATATTTATTTAGAGCAAACATCTCCGGTAGACACAATGTCTGAGGAGTAAAATACCGATATTTTGGAAATTCCCCAGTTTTTTTTTTTCAGAATAAGTGGTTGTTGCTATGGTTATTGTGATCAATTCTGTGACTGGTGGATTTAGAGTGGAGTGAACTTAGTATGATTGGCTGCTTGAACTGTCCGATTACAGCCAACTGTCTAATTAGTGAAAAATAACGCAGCCTATGCAACAGTCACAATTGAGGAAATAATAGTTATGATCAAGGGAAAAACGATGTTGCCTAATTTGTTTTGTTTTTTTGTTTTTTTGTTTTTTGTTTTTTTTTTGCAGGCCGAGTGTTTCGGCAATGTAATTTTGCTTGGGAGAGACCTGCGTCGCGGAAAATACCCTAACTCCAGTGATGATGACTAAGAATGTTGCCATGCCACCATCGAATTAACAAATGCAAATTACGTTTCTTTATGTAAAGGCTATTCTAATGTGAAAACTACTTCGAGCCTCCTCGATATTTGGATATAAAGCAATCCTCTGGGACGATAAAAACTACCCAAAGTGCGATTCAGGCTCGATTTCTAACGCTCTGTAGAGTCTAGTCGTCGATAACACAGCAGTCGAATGTTACTCATGCGCCAGGGGAAAAGGTTCTGGCCGCCCGCGATCAAGATTCTCGCGCAAAATTCCAAAGGAAATCATAAGAAAAAACTGCTATCTTGCAAAATAAGCGAAAGAAAATTGGAAAGTTCACGGAAATCTATTAAGTAAACAAAAGTAAAGAAAAAGAAAACTCGAGACTTAGTAAAGTAACCTACTGATTGAGCCAAAAATTAGGTTAATGCTTTAAATACATTGTCTTGTGTGGTTGTGGAAACTTAGTTCTAACTACCCGCAAGCAAGTCGCGGAGACAATACAACGTCCGCACATGCGCAGACGTTTGACCACTGTGTTGTCGCCGACCCTCCCGAAAAGGTCAGAAGCGTGAGTTCAATCCCTGGTTATAGAGCGTAACTGCCACGATTACCTATAAAAACTGCTGGGTACTTAAACCATCTTTTTTTTTTTCTAAATGGTATCTGCAGTATGGAGGAGTGCTCTGTACTTGTGTGAACAAGAAAGCACGAGCAGGGACTAGCTAGTTACAAAAACAAATCTCGAGCAATGCAGCAAGTTTGCTGTACGAACAGTAGTTTCCCCATTAATAACACTAACCCAAGTCGTTTCACAGGATCGAGCCATTTATTGATCTTGTAATAAAACCTCAACAACAGTTCGAAGAATTTTACTGCTTGACAAATATCTCATAGCGCACAATTTCTGTAAACCGAAGCGAGTCATCCTTACATACTCATTCAGAACAGTGCAAGAATCAAAGCACTTTGAGGCTGACATTTTCTGTGATCGCAGAGTCTTAAAACAGTTCACTAAGAGTAAATTCTCACGTTATAAATAACTAATTTCCTGAGCTCCAATTTAACCTTTTACGAAGCAAGTTTACATGCTCTATAAAAAGCAGTGCAAAAATGCAAAGACTACGAAATCAACGTAGCTTCTTTTCTATATAATCTGAACCTTTTTTAAAATAATTCATACGCTCTTTGAAATACTTTACAATTAAATCGACACAATAACCAACTTGAACTGAACATTAACGCACTAAGAAAGTGTACTGAACACATTGAACAAGAATACAGTTGTACGGTAATGCTCAAATATATCGTACAAGTTCTCGTCTCGACTCGCGCGTGACTCTTTAGTGAGGGGTATGGAATATATTATTAGCGTTCAAAGAAATCACTACACTCTTGAGTTAATTTAAACGGAAGTCGCAACTTCCGAACGAGTTGAGAGGCCTTTGCAACCCTAAACGTACCCTTAACTTAAAATAAAACAAAACCTAAACAAAAATCACAATAACAAAGCTCACTAAACATTACCGAAACTAAAAATGTAAACTGATATAAATGTAATGTCAGTAGTAATATAAATAATTATAATCTATAATAAGTCATACCTAAATAAACATAACTAACATTGTTTAGAGTTGTAGGAGATATTGCACTTTACATTTAAGCGATACCGTATGCAAAAAAAAAAAAGCTCTCTATGGAACATTGTTAACACAAATGACATAAAAATGACAGTCGCCTTATTTGTACATAAACGCTCTGGAATAGTGTACGAAATATAAAACCTTTAATTCAATAAATAACATGCATAGACACTCTGCACAAAATTGATTCAAACAATTAAAAAAACTCATACTCAGTCTGAAAGTTGTCCTACTGCAAATGTATATGATATGGATCTGTCAGATAATCTCCACAAAGCTGCTTTTCAGACAGTAAGATATGCTACCAACCGATCTGACAATCACTACAACCCACACCAGGCCTTCACAATTCGTTTTATAAAAGACACTACTTGCCGTATCACCAACTTATCCCTCTCTCCGAAGTCTTGATTTACTGACAACTTTCTTTCATTAACTTTCAACTTCTTATTTTTTTGTTCCTCAACAGTTGTAGTCGTGGAACAATTTTTTATAATGCGATAACTAAATGCTGATATTAATTTCAACGATTTATCATCACATTTAAAAATTTTCAAGAGGACCGCAAGATGACGCTTGTGTCCTTTCCAAATAACAATTTTCTAGTTATTTCTTAAGGGTGTACAAAAATATTCTTTCCATGGTGAAATAATAGTCTTAAAATGAACATCTGTACATATTCTTCTAGAAATACTGTACAAATGTTATTCAAAATGTAAGCTTCAAATAATCATAAAAAATATACCACTCATGAACTTTTCATGTTCCTATCCGTCATGTACTTTGTACATATCCACTCTGGAACAGTGTACAAAAATGATTGATTTAAAAAATTAACTTAAAACATGGATTCCATGCAGGTAACTAACATGTTCACCTTGGAACAGTGTTTGAGAATTTTGATAGAAAATTTAGGGTTTTTACTAGTTAATTTTTAATTAAAGAATATGAACAATTCTTGAACTAAGTTCACTTCTCTTGAAATTGAACATTAACTATTGAGGGAAACATCTTGAGGGTGACTTTTCCATAAAATTAATTTAAGTCTACAATCCTATTTACATTTAATTTAATGCATGTCTTCACTGCGACAGTGCACAAACTTATTCCAATTTCTTTCAAAATAATAGCTGACATAAGAGTCCCATAATAAATTGTACATCTTCACAGGGACAGCTTACAATAATATTTTCACCATGGTTTGTTAATATCACCCCCACAATTCTGTAAATGTGCTATTTGGAACTATTGACTAATTTTAACATTTTGGGGGTGGTAGCTTGATTGGATGTGAGATTCCACTATCCACACTAATTTTTGGGAAAAAGTATTAAGGGTAGAAAGAAAATTCATCCTTCTGTTTATGACACTTGTCTGTCATAATCTTGCGTACAATGAACTTGGTGTACATGATTTTGCAGGCCTACCTGCCAACTAAACATGACCACAGTAATTATTTCAAAGAAATGGTATCCACCCTTTGGTACGTGATAATTGGATATGTGATCTGCACGTTCTGATTCTTGTCATTTCACTTCTAGAACCTGAAATTCCACTCTGGCCAAAGCAAAGTTTTCAACACCCTCTCTTTTGAGTTTGGATCATTCCCTGACAGGAAAATAAGCTGTCAACTTACAGCACTATTCTGTCATTTCCACCTGAGCTTGCTGTTCAGCCTTGTTTACACAGCACACTTATTGTGGAATTTCATTTCTTCTAAACTGTGTTTTCTGGGAGGTACACCATACATGAGCCTGTCATAGAGAAAAACGAGCAGAAAAAAGTGTAAGAGGTGTGAAACAACATTACTCTCTTGAGTAACACCACCCCTCAGACAAATGCCCCCAAGACAAAACTGGGCATCCCTTCTGTTTGGCCAAATGCCCCCATTAATCTCCTCCTGCTCTAAAAGACAAGTCATTTCTTGCCAAACTAAGTGTATTATCAGCATTAATTGGATGAGTTTGAGCATGATACCTAAAATGATCAAAACCCAGGCCTGAATTATCGCATAGACACAAGGTTTGATAATTTATGACACCATGTGAAAACCAAATACAATAATCGTTTTAGCATAGTTACATTTTTTTAAACAATCTCCAAAAGAAGACACTCTGAGAATGATGGGGCTTGGAAACTAGGCAGAGTTTGAACTTGACATGGTAAATGCAATATCTACTGTAGATATTAAGTTATTATCTCAACTTTGCGCAATCCAAGATGGCACTGTGTGATAAAGGTGTACCAGATCTTTCACAGTAAATCCAAAGTATAATAATAGCAGTTACAAGATTGGCTCATTTCTAACATACTTTCTTCACCCCCAACAATACATTAGAATAAGCTTTGTGTAATCATAAACAATTGAGGTTGCTTGTATTTTCTTCTTGCACAAATGCTTACTAAACAAAATATCAATCTCTAGCCACAATTTGGGAAAAATGAGTTGCCTCCATCAGATGTGCACCCCATCTCCCTACAACTTTAACCAAAATTTGATATAGGTACCAAGGGTGCTTACTCAAGGATTTGCAGTTCACCAGGTTGATTCAATATAAAGTTGTGTAGTGAACACCGATCCTTAGGATAAACTTACTTGAATTCTTGATTGTACAAATCCTCATCCACCACAGCAGTAGTTAATGGGATGGAAGTGTCATTAGCACTTGGAAATTTGTCACAACTGAAGGTCAAAAAATATCTAAAAGTTACTGTTTGTTTCAAGCTGTGTTGAAACTGTAGAATAGAGTTAATAATAAACCTTTTCATTCTTGGAAAATTGAAATTCAACTAAACTTCTTAGAGTGGTAAATCAACAAATGGTTGATAAATCTGTGTGCAAGTGATGGACCCAGTGGAAAGGCCTAGCCTACCACAAGTCTCCTAGAGCTTAGTGGTAGAGCATCCAAAGTACTAACTGGAAGGTGAAAGGTTTTGCTCCTGTTGGAAGCACTCAGAGTTCTTTTTCTCCAAGTATGCCCATGTCATTCAATGGAAAACATCATCTTTCTGTTAAATCACTAAGCTTAATATTTTCCATTTACATCATCAAGTGAAATGTTATTATTTGTGCAGTAGTTCATCACAACCCTATCACATCTCTACTAACATTGTACACTGTAACTAATTCAAACTACACTGCACAAAGAAGCATTTTACAATAGTCACAACCTTGTTAAAATTTCTGACCTGCTCTGCTTGCGTTGGTAAAGAAATATGACAAAAATTGTCACAGGAACCATAAAAATAAATATAACTGCAGCTGTAACTGACACTGCAACAACCAAATGGCCTGACGGTTTCAGAGACTTGGAATCCGAAGGGGAGCCCACATCTTGACGAGCCACTGCTGACACTTGAGATGGTGATACAGATCTAGGGACTCCAGCTGTTGGGGTAAAAGGTGTATTCTTCCCCTCCTCTCTACTGGGGGCCACATTGAGTGTTTTGGCTGAAAGACCAATTGGAGTAGGGGTCACTACATCAACAGGATCTATGAAAAGAAAGATATATTTGCTTAATGTGTTGTTTCACATACCTACCATTGCATTAAATTTAGCTCCTTCTTAACCCTTTAAATCCAGAGGGTGATCATTGTGCAATTTCTGTAAATAGTATATCTTCATAACAATAATGACAATAAAGAAAATGATCCCAAACCAAAGAAACTTTGATTGTTAAGCCAATTCTCCATGTCACTACCAAAGTAAAAATATGGAGACGAGTAAGGAGAAAATGGATAATGATTTTGTTAGGGTGCACAGGATTAAGGTCAAAATAAGATCCCTTGCATGGTCATATTTCTGTGTTCTTGGGAATGAATTTTATGGATCAATATCAGTATCTGGGCAACTGCCCACCTACCCCTCCCCTAACCCAACAACAGTCAATCAATAACAAGTTAGGGTTAATATTAGGTTAGGGGAAGGGTAGGTGGGCAGTTGCCCAGATACTGATATTGATCCAATTTTACAATGCCTCCATCCACCCCAAGGGAATCGCCATGAACCAAGAAAGGTGTGGCTCATTTGTCTTTGATTGGGTGTAGTCTTCACCACCTCATTCTCCCAAAGTACCATTCATTTAATTTTTTTTTAATCACATTTACACACACTTCACAATGAACATAAGAGCAGCTGTAGAATACCTATTTCTTTTGGGCGTGTTGTTTCTTTTCTAAGAGTAGTATTTTTGGCTATAGTGGTTTGATGTTCTGGTGCAGCTGTTGTGGGAGTTGTTATTGTCTGTGTAGGATCTTCTTGTGGCTGAGGAATACTCTCTGCAGAGCCTGTGAAAGAAACAAAACAACTATTAATTATAATACACTAATTTTTGTTCAGTTTACCCTTGTAATTAATGTGTCTGAATTTGCTGTAAATACTCCAACATCCCACTCAGTATTCAGCAAGTTCTGACCTTAAGATCCAGGCGCTAAGCTTATATAGGCCCCCTCCTCCCTACTACCTCATCATTCACTCTAAAAAGTGGTTTCACCATGTCTGTTGTTGTTTTTTTTTCTGTGGACTTTGCTTGTTTTGGCACAAAATTCACATGTATTTGAAAGCCTCTCCTACCCTCTTCTTTATTAAACATCAAAGGTTTTCATGCACACAGTCCAGTAATACACTGCTCATTGAATGTGGGTACATTTTTGAAGAAAAATATCAATTTCCCTTCTTAACCCATACATGCATCCTTATGAGCCTCCCCCTTCTAACATATGCAACACCTCACAGGTACCAAATAAAATTACATCAATATTCACTTACAATTTTTCAGACCATATAGCTCCAAGCGCATACACACTTTATGTCTGTACTTTACAGGATATACTCTAATATATCTTGCAGATATCTTTGGATTGAATGTGTTTGTAACAGCAGCCTCTGCATCTGTATTGCCTGCCAAAACCTGCAATGATTTACACATAGTGTATCACCATTACCAAACTTCCAGTATTAAACATTCCCCAAATAGATAACACAATCATGCTAGTAAAATCTTGAATCCTGCCACAAAAGTTAGAGGCACTCCCCAGACTGACAACAACTTTTATGCAACACTTCTGCCCCAATCAGTAAAATGTACTGAAGCAACAACTTGCAAATGTTTTAGACTGATTGGAGCAAAACTGGGTCAATGTCTACATGTATTTCAATTTTGCTTTTTGAGAGAAATGCATGCAGTTAGTCATTACAAACCCTTTTCTCCTTGTAAAATACTGTGTGTTGTTCCCTTGCTCTATTCTTCACAAGAGAAGGAAGGAACATGATAATGAAATATAATATTCCTTATACAGCTGTTACCAGAAAGGTTGTCAGAAAAAAAACAATTAATAGTACATGCAACAGCTCTGAAAAGCATTGTGGGCACTTTCAGGGAAAACAGCATTTTAAGATGCATGGCAGATTTGATGGATTTTTTGTTGTATGCAAAACTGACTTTTAATTCCAAACTTGATGAAAAATGAAAAAAAGAATACACTTAGTGACCCTCATGAAGGAAAAAAATGTAAACTCAACAAGAGTAAATTTAAAGTGATCTAAAGAAAAAATGTTCACAATGTAATGGTTTATTCTTTTGTTCCTCTTGTATTCACATACATGTCGGTACTTATCCCCTGTTCATTAGTCCTTTTGCCCACATTTATTTGTTTCTCTTATCTAATGATAACTAGGAACCCAGATTACCTTTACAGATTTTTGCATGCACTTTGTCTTTTTTCTGACAACCTCTGTGCAAAAAGCTGTATATGAACTTCTTCGAAAGTCAATTTGGTGCAGTTATTTTCCTAGGCCTTTGGTAGCAAGAATACCCTAGAGAAATGGTCATGCAAACAAGTGCTTCCTGAAATTTAAAAAAAGAGATTTATTTTATGGTTTACCTCTTTGTAAAGCTTCCAGGTAACTCTGTCATTGCTATAGGAAACATTATACTGCATCACATAGTATGCATTTGCAGCTGCTCTAAATCCTTGAGTAGCAATTTCACTGATGTCCATGGACTCCTTTAAGTCTATTTCAATGTATACTGGCATATCGGAGTACTTGTTGGCAGGAGAACACCATGCTAGCATATTGTTCAGACGAGCACACCCAGGATTCATATCAGCACTTTCACCACCTCCAATATACAAACGTTTATAATGATTTGGGGAAGATAGCTGAGAGTTTGAAATTCTTCCATCCTGTAAACCCAGAGGTCTTTTGCAATCTGTTTAAAATAAAGGACAAAGTTAAAGTAAAGCATCCAATCAATGGCTTATTTATTTCAACAGGCCCATGCCTGAAGGCTGGGCCATGAAAGGAAAAAAAGAGTCCTTTGTCTAAACAGAGAACAATCAAGTCTCCATGATATGTCTCTCAAGTGAAAGGTCAGTCAAATGAGCCATTTTAAATGAAAAGGACATAGACCAAGGTACATATCCAGTCACGTAATATCTACGGATGAAGAAATCTACATGTATGCACAAGAAGTTTTAGTAAATAAAGCAAGTTAAAAAAAACTGCAAATAAAGAGATTGATCAATACAATTTCTACCTTTTTTTAATTTCTAAATATAGATGATAGAAATTGAATTCTAAGATCAACCCAAATTCTTTACCTTTTGACAACTGTACTTATATGCATTATGTAACATCCATTATGTACTTAAGTCATGAAGAGTTGAGACTTCCTGTTATCATTGTTTTTTACATTACTAAATACACAAAGGCTGAATAGCTTGTGTGGTTTTTGAGACCACTGCATTAGCCAAAAATATTTTAGCTCTTGCATTTGAACAATTAAATAACTGAATAATGTAGTATAATTTTATGTACTTATGCAAGTTAAAGTGTCTATGATTCACACAGAATGGACAAAAGGAAAAAACACTGTCTCAATCCTCGTCGAGTATAGCGCAAGTATAATACATCACGTACGTGTACCAGTACAAAGGGAGACCAACTTGATAAGCAACAAATCAACAACAAAATAAATGAATAAATTAAAAAAGAATCATAAATATGGCTTTATCATTCACAAGGAACAGGCAGAACTGTTTTCTCATCTGGTATGATGTAATGAGCATGTCAATTAAGACACAACCATGATGCTGAGAACTTGAAATCATCACAATACAAGAAGAACAATCATGCTGAGGTTCAGATGTTATATTTTTAGCCACTGCATAGGTTCTTCTCCTCCTCTGCTTGATGGTAAAGATACGATTTTCCATTGACTGAATGAAATGCGCCAACAACAGACTGTTTTAACTGCCAGTCTGTTATTAGATTCACATCTAGCCAATTCATCTACATTTCCTCAACAGACACTGCCTGTAGAATCCTTTCCGTGATTCGAGTTATAATTTTAAATTCACTGATATCTCCCAAGAAACAAAGCTCAAAACAAATAAACGCAATTTTTAATTAAGCATCACTATCATGCAAATTGAGTGTTTATTTTTATCCAACAAATAGACAAAGTCTAAATTCAAATAATAAAAGGAAAGAAATGGAAACAAATATTGAAAAAAAGTCTTCAGATTTCATTTTTTTTTTACATCTGATACAAGTAATAACTTTAACTTAGTGTATGTATGGACCTTTGTTGAAAGAAAAAGAAAAGAGAATTTTCTTGAACATGTACAGCATACCCCTCAAGGTGCTAGCCATTCTTTGATGGTTAATTCATATCTTTTTTTTTAACATGGTATGAAAATGTACCCTTGATAACACAAATTCCAGGTAAAGTGACTTGATTACACTGTGTTTCCCTTAACAGCCTGTGTACAGTGTACTTCGCCTTACCTGTATTCTGCATATTCATGATACACAAATAACCTCAAGCTATCTTAAGTAAGCATCTAGACATCTAAATGCTTACAGATTAATCCCTACCACAGTCTGGGGCAACACTTGATCATGGGATCTCAAAGTCCATTAAAAAAAAACATCCTCCCTGCTCTGTATTACACCTAAAATACACTGTACACTTCAATGAAAGGAACTGTTTCTTCAGAACAGCATAGAAGCCTATGACCAGAGAAAGGCTTCTCCTGAAATATTTCTGTTTAATTTAGAGAAGATTCACACCAATTGGAAACCTGCTACAATTCACAATCCACATATTGAATGTGATTCTGTCATTAGAATTATGAAGGGGTTTTGTTACATTTCATTTCACTGTGTTCAGCTGGCAGTCCTCAAACAACTTCTAGATTAAAACAACAAAATGTAACCTCAGAACTGAACCAAGACTAGTAAATTACTCCATCCGCGGTAATAAAGGGCGGGAACGAGAATTCGCAAAATTAACTTAATACGCTTTAAAAGGGTGACTCATAATGTAAGTGTCCACTACTGATACAAAACCTGCTCAACATTGCAAAAGAACGTTCTGCGAAATAAACTATCTTTGTGTTTTGTACGTGTTTTGAACAATAAACACTGACAACGGCAATAATTAAGAAAGCTAGTACGCGTACGCCATTGAGAGAACAGAAAGAAATGTGAAAGGGTTACTGCAAATCAATTGAGTTAAAGAAAATTATAAGAACGTTGAAAAACCTTGCAACACTATGCGCTAATATTAAGGAAATTTTGAGCTTCTACGGGTGATCAAAGTCGATCAATATCAAATAACCAATGCAATAACACCCCTTAAACAAGCCGCCAATACATTGATTTCAAAGTCGAAATCTTCAGTCTTTCGTAATAAAAATGTAGAGGTTACTTCTGCTTACAGAAAAAAAACGAATTGAATTTTTCGATTGATCTAATTACTAGGATGTAGAAAGGATTGTCCAATGCCATAAGGCCACGATAAAATGGAACTGAAAAAAAACCATAATACTAAAACAAAAGGCTTTCACAGAAAACCACGCAAGGAAGGCAGTAGCAAAATTTATGACATATTTTGTCACTTTAAAAACTTGTTGGCAGCTTTAGACAATGTGCTAGGTTCTCTCATCAGAGAAACTTTCTTTACTTATCTATGAAGCGAGGGCTATGAAGCGGGAGCTATGAAGTGAGCGAGGTTAGAGTGAGTTATTGACGGCGTCTCACGTTTTCTCCACTGTTCAACTTTTATAGATTAGCGCGCTTTTCCTAACATAATTTTCTAACCAATGAGTAGAACCCTGTCGCTAGGTTTTCTTCTCATTGTTCTGTGTTTATTTAAGAAGAAGAACAATCCTGCTTCTTCATGTAACGCCATGTCACTGGGCTGTGTAAGAAGGATATTTTCATTCAACAGACTCAATTTACCGTGCAACTTACCGTTCAAATTAGAACTAGATCCCACCCAAGTATGTGAAGATAAGCATAGAAGAAGAAGAGAGAGCGAAGCACAAGAAGGACAACACCTTAAAACCATGGTGTCCCCGTCCTGCAAGAAAAAAAACGTACTCTTGTGATGAGCAGTGCTCTTGGTCATGAGCGGAGGGAAGCCGCTTGTTACTTCTCACATGTGCGTAAGCGCGGTTACAAAGCACTTACACGTGAATGTCGGCAAGGAGAGTATGCGGACTGCGTTAGATAAGAACAAACACACAGTTTAATAGTACTGCATACATTTGGATCAGTGCTAACAGCGTCAAAATAATTCCTCAACTTAGTATACATAGATTTAGACCAATTATTTATAACTCCTTCATAGGAACTGCCGGAAAAAATCGTATGATCATCACGAGGGAGACTGAAGTGGTTTTAAATGTACTTTCCCATCACGCTGGGATTCAAAGAAACCGATTCAGGTGCCCAAGGCTACTTTTAGCTAGTTTTGCTATAATTTTTCTAAGAATACGCTTTTTAAACTGGAAAGATACAATGTACTCTTGAGAAGCAACTACGATCCGCGGGGATAGGTGCTATTCACTCTAACAAACCTGAAACTTCGGTGATATCATCGAACTTTAATAGTCAAACTAAAATGGTCACATTACTTTTTAAGATCACGAGGAATAAAAAAGGGAAAACGGCACGTGAGAACTTGCATTTGTCTTACTTACAAAACCGAGCTGCTCGTATCAAGAGTAACTGAGAAGTCTCACATAGTCTAGTTTCTGGGTAAATAAGAGTTTTTGGTTACTAATTACTAGAGAGTAATCAGATAATACTCTGAGGAACCCATATGACCAGTTATTTGAGAAAATCCGCCTCTATCTGCGTTTTAATCAGGGTAACACCTCCCTTAGGTGAGTTCTACTGCAGCTAAAAATTTCTGAGACAACAGTCAACATTCCAGCTGTCTTCTTTCAAGACTGATCAAACCTGTATTAATATACATAAAAAAAGAATGCCACATTGGGAGAGAACAGCATACATGCATTGAAATCAAACTAAACCATCAAAAGTTGCATAGACTAAGCCATAGACTAAGGTCGATTATACGCGAGTAATAAATGTTAGTCAAATTTGGTGCAAGATTTTTGGGATTCTATAGTCCAAAGAGGAATGAAAACAAGAGAACAAATAAATTATAAAGTAAACCTAAAAGGCTAACAAAGAAAGTACAAATTAAAACGAAAGTGACAGATTCTCTTTTCCTGCATGCCAGCTAAAGCTGTTCTTTCTCTAGAGAAAGACTTAAGAGCCGAAATATGAAAGAACTGAGACTCTAATCGCTCATTTGGATATCGACTTTTTTCAACTTTTTCTGGAAGATAAATCCAATCGGATCAGGGCCTGGCATGAGCCAAAGAAAAATTTCTTACAACTTGGACAACCCACAACCATCAAAAGCCATCAGAAAATTTCAAGAACTCGCTTTTAAAGCTAAAAACGACTAACACAAAAAAACAAACCTAAGCAAAGCATTTCAAGGGCAACACAAATAAGCTTTTTAACTAAGGCTTTCCAGCGGGTTTCAGATCGCGTAAGTGATTCCTACAGAGCAGTGAACTGCCATGAGACATCGCCTATATTTGTAGCGGTCTATTTCTTTAAAATTATCAAATCCCAATACCGACGTCAACGAAACCCGGCGGTATATAGCGTTTTACGGAAACAAAAGTGATAAATTATAAAATTCGTGTTTTAAACTACCATAAAGAACCATAAATAAAGAACAATACAGCGAAGGGATTAACAGATATTGGATTCGTTGAAATTTCATGCGTCAACCTTACGGTTAAATACCGACCAAAACGCGCGTGGTAACAGCTGATTGGTTTGTTTGTTACTTGTAGGCGATAATGGCGTAAAATAAATGATGCTCATGATCCTCTTCTGTCGTACAGGACGCGGGATGGGACACGGAAGGCCCTCGTTAATTGCCGTACAAATAATAGTAAATACACACAATATAAATAAAGGGGGTAAGTTTCTAAAGAGACTGAAGTGCTGCGTCAGTGAGGGGTATTGCAAGATTATTTGGTTTTAAAAACTGAGTTGATAACGTTAGTTGGCCACCGTAGGGAGTTTCTAAACCCATTTCAAGGAAAACTCAAAAAATGTGTTTTCTTTAAATTCATTTATTCTATCAAGTATTCTTACAGGTCTCAGATTTGTTATCATTAGCATGGAGTAGTGAGCCTAGCAGGAAAAGTTTCTAAAATTTCTAAACCAAATCCTTAATTATAATGATGACCTACAAGACTTTTTTCACTCTCTGTCGCTGTTTAAAGGTTCACCACTGATTCAGATATCAACTTAGCGTTTTCGTGTTTCAATGCTTGCGGAACACACACCACAGTTTGTTTACAAAATAGACTAATCAAGGACGTATTCAAATATATTAGAATCCTTAATGACGCAAGTCTGAAGTTCCTTGTATCAACAGAAGGTTTCAACTGACGTAAGTAACTTTGAACGGGAAATGCCTAAAACCATAATTGCTTCCAATCTTTTCACCGGCAAAATTTTTTTAAACTTTGTTTTGTTTTGTTTCTTAGTTTTTCCGGTTTTACACTGTCACGATTGATTGCCCCTTTTTGCTCCGGGGCTTAATGAGTTTAACGTCATCAAATATAAAATATTCGCGGTTGTATGAGAGGCGTAGACGTTGATAAGAAATAACCGCCTCTCACAAACCGTACTAATACCTGCACGTCTCAGATGTTAACCACAACATAAGACTACACTTTCTTTGTTGAAATCCCGCTTTAATTTGAATTCTGTCAATATATATAGCAACGCTGCTTCGTGAAAAGTTGAATGATTAAGAATAATCAATAGGGTCGAAATTTTCTGGCTGACTTCATTTCAGCGATTCTTTTCTTGTCGTCGTCGAATTTCTTTCGTAAATGCGCAATGTCTGTCCAAAAATAAGAAAAGATTTCCACCAAGAAGTGGACGTAAGTTACTGTACTGAGGGGGAGGGGAAGGGAGAGAAAGAGAACGATACTGGAGGGAGAGGGGAAGGAAGAGGAAGAGAACGATTCTGGGGGAGGGGAAGGGGGAGGGAGAAAATGATACTTAAGACGGAAGGGAAGGGAGGGTCAGAGATTGTATTTGATAGGAGGAGAAAAAATCTTCCGCACAAAGCCTTTTCAGACGTTGTTAGATGAAAAATGGGTTAGGATGTTGAATTGTCCAAACATTTTACCATTTTTTTAAATAACAATTCCTCCTGCCCCACTAAATATCACATACAAAGTCATATACCAGAAGTCACCTTCTTGAGTCTAAGTTCTTCACAATTTCGATCCTAGTACATGTATATCGTGGAAGCACACACAGCTGACAAAATAATCGTCCATGAAGTAAAAGATAATTCCAGGTACTTACGTTCTCTTCGTGTCTCGCGTTGTTGAAACTGGTAAAAATTTAACAGTGCTTGCTGTAAACCAAAAGAAAAAAAAAATGGATGCTAGTCACTCTTAGGAGTCAAAGGGTCAATATGCCTTAATTTGCAGGTGTTCCTTGCAATTGACAATAACTTTGCAGTTGATTAGTGTACACCAAAAAACCGTATTACCTTCTTTTTCCTCTTTTTTCTTTCTCGTAGTTCATTGACATCCAGTCTGGGTGCTGCTGGGTTCCTTCCACCTCTCCCAACGGTCACCCAGCCCTCATCATCGGCTTGGTTACGTGATTCAGCCTCTTCTCTTTCGGTCTGAGTAATAAATTAAAAAAAATAAAAAATAAATTAAACAGCAGCATTATACCAACAAGGAAGATGTGACTATCTAATTGCTCACTGGCTGGAAATTGAATGTACATGTATCCTCCACACAAACCAAATAAAACATCAATTAAACATGGAAAATATAAGACAAAGAAGTTTCACCTTCTCTCTATCTTCATCAAACTTTGCCATAAATTCATCCACTTCAAGCTGTAACTTTTTTGTATCTGGGTATTGTAAGTGATATTCCTCAATCCATTCTGAAATGAATACAAAAAATTAAAAAACTCTCATTTTTGAACATAACCCAATATATTAAACCAATATATTAGAAATCTTTAATATGATTCTCCAAAACAAGTGATTCATATTACAAATTTGTCAAAGCCTGCACTAGTCTCACTGAGACAGAAAGGCTATTCCTACTGATTTTGCAGAATTCTTGTGAGTTAAACTTAAAAAGCCACAATTACTAATAATCAGCAGCACATACTGCATGTGTCAAGCAAGTGAAGACCTACACCAGGTTGTTGCAATAAAAGCTCTTCTAGGTCTGAACTAAGAGACAGATAGCGTTATATGCAAGAACAAGATGACCTCTGTTTACTAGCTGATATTGAGAGCTAAAACTTCTTCCCACATATCCACGCAGTCCCATTCACTGTACTTACTTTTCATTCCAGTTGCTACTGGATTTTTCTTTGTTGAAAGCACTCTTACTGTAGACTTGTCTAGGTTTAATGCTGCACTCAAAGAAGAAGACTTTTTGAAGACAATATAACCAACCTTAAAACCCTATAGAAAGGAAATAAAACATAAGGAGATCTATTTGCTAAATAAAATAGATATATGACAATTCAATGAAAAATATACTAGACATGTAGAAAACTACAGTATGTAGGTAGGTAAAGCCTGTAATCAAAGTGGCCCATCTAGCCCAAGCTTATCCTTGTTTTTCCATCGCATGAAACGGCTAGGAGTATTACTTCTCCCCCCCTCCCCCCAGTGAGTTGTCAGTCTATTTTAAGCCTACCCCTTGCAGAATTTCATCAGGTTTACCAAACAATTCAGTCCAGTAGCCATTTATTCTTCTACATTGTAGGTGAAGGGAGGCATTGTGAAAGTTGAGTGTTTTACCCAAGAACATGACACAGCAATCTGACCAGGTTTAGAAACCAGACCTCTTGACCTGGACTCCTATGTGGTAACAATTAGGCTAATGTATCTTCCACAGAACACTAAAGTGAAAGTATGCTGAATTTCTTCCAAGATGACAACTCTAAGATTGCCTGACTGACCCTTGATTCATTACACTTAAATACAACTCTTAAATCTAAACCAGTCTACAGTGAATGGAAGAACTTGCCAGAACCTATGTATGCTGTCAGCCATTTGTAGCCAAATGACGCCAGAGCAATGCAATCAGAACTCAAACTCACATGGCTTCATAATTGCTTCTTAGTTTTACAACTTCCAAGTGTGGGTTCAAAGTTGCTGTCAGTGTCAATCACTCACTCTGACTCTGGAATGCACATACCGCACCACTCGTGTATATGTTAACTGCACAGACAAATTTCATATGCTCAGATGCAGGGTAGTCAGATGCACATATACAATTTTTTTGCGTGCAAAGTTGAGAAAAAATGCGCAACTCATGTGTCTTTGTTATTCGGTGCTATAAATTTCCTTTGAATCACATTGTTGTGTAAAAAAAAAAAAAAACTATTAGGTTTGAAAAAGCCACAAGTCAACAAGGGAAAATTTATATAATGAAAAAATCCACCATGTTACACTCCTGCATGTTGCATCACTTCATAGTAGCAATACATTTGCTTGAATTGAGTTGTTAATGAATCAGGAGAGAAAGAAAATGTCACTTACACAAGGCATCAAAACATGTGTACTACTAAGTGAGTAACAAAGGGAATACAGAGCTTTCAATAAGATTTGAGGGAGGTGGCTACCTCAGTAAGGCACCTGCCGGAGAATATTCTCATTGTTATCCTATTACTTCCATTCAGAATAAACTAGCTTTAAACAGAGTTTTCGGTGTTAAAACTCCGTAGATGATGATTAAATTTTCGTCTCCTTTATAACAATTGTTCAATTGATCATTTTCTTTATGATCAAAATCTTCCATTTGCAGACATGCAAGCCTGCTCCCTGAGTTTCACACAAAAAGTCCTCTGAAATTTGAGTCAGTACATTCTCCTTCCATGGAGAACAGAATGGAAATATACTATTTAAGATTGTGATTGATGCTTTATTTTATTCATTGCAATCAGTGCTCACTTCAGTGTAAATGCTTCAGAATGTAAACAATTTTTTTTGGCATTGCACATGTCTTAAACAAACTTGAACTAAATGTATCCTGCATTTAATTTTTCCCTTGCCTTTTTCAAGCAACTTGATGAACATCAATTGATGATTTGACAAATAGTAAAACAAGAGGCAAATCTAGTTTTGCATAAAAATTTGCATAAGAGTCAGAGCATGGCTTAGTCACGACAAGTAACCAAACTGCAATGCAACACCATTAAAATAAGTGGGTAGAGCTTCTTGGCTTTTGTTTAAAAGGTGAGATGAATGAATCAGAGAAAATTTTTTTTTATTCACACTTGCATGCGATTTTTGGCATGTTTTATTTAACAAATAGAGAAGCCTTGGCTGTGCTCTGTTCTGTTATAAAGCACGCAGGAAGCAGCTAGAGCATGAAAGAAGTGTAGGGCGAAACACAAGACGTAGTCGAGTGTTTCTTCCCACTTCTTGAGTTAGCCGCTTCCTAAGTGCTTTATAACAGAACAGAGCACAGCCAAGGCTTCTCCATTTGTTTTATAATAAAGAATCCATTAAATTCCCCAAGCATTACTTTCAATTTTCAAAACAAACTTCATTTCCAAAGCGAACAACAGTGTCGTCAGCATGCTCTATACTCTCATAAAGCAGGCTACAATAAGCCAATCAGAATCCCTGTTAGAATGGCTCAAATAATCTGATTGGCTGTACAAGACTAAAGCTGTCAAAAGTGTCAAACCATCAAAGTTAAAAAACCATCAAAGTCCACCTTCTGCGATAGTTTACAAACTAAAATAGTTTGGTAGGTCGAATTTAACACTTTTGCCTGAAGTTTTTAAAGCTCTAATACAGAATCTTGAAGTGAAATGTTCAGTGAACTTCAGCCGAATTATGGCTCATAAAAACACGCGAGTTTTTTCATATGACAAGGTAGAAAACAAACTGTTCAGGGCAAGTGTTTTTTGAATGAACGACAGCCGAATTCACCGGAACATGAAGATCGCTCGGGATGACAGTGTCACAAAACTCGGCTGCAATGACAGATGTGACTTTCCACTCAACGCATCGTAAAGGACATCAGAGCAAGCTCTTATTTTTTCACTCGAAGGGCGGCCGATGTAGTTTCTGAGGCTTGCTGTGATGACCGGAGATCGCCATGATGAGTGAGCCGCGATGGACTTCAGCATGATCATATTCGCTCAGACACCGTCATGATTAGAATGAATTTTAACAGTTATGCCAGTTTGGTTATATTTTTCATCATTTCTGTTTTGTTCTGTTTTGTTTTCGAACACTGAACTTTATATACTATATGAGTGTTAGCTGTGTTTGATTTTTATTTCCGAGCCGGAGCCTGAATCAATCTTTAAAACCCCGAATGTCTATTTTGTTTTTCCCTTGAGGATTTTCGTATCTGCTCACGTTTAATAACGTAAATTACGGCGCCTGGTATGTTTACAAACCTTTGTTTGATTCTTCTGTTGCTACTTGTTGGCTTGCTTCAGTTCCGAAATTTCACTTTCAATTATCGGAAAAAAGCTAAAAAGAAGTCTCGGAAAAGCTCTAACATAGTACAGTTTGGCAGATGGCGTGACAGCTTTAGCTCAGCTCTATGCTCTATACTCTCATAGAGCATGCTCTTTCAACCAATGACAGTGCGCGTTATATCCGAACTTTATTATAAATGTGTTTGGGTTAATGTATACATGAGCGGTACTGTAAGCTCTTAAGAAAACAAAGATTGACGAACACCCATGCATGCACCTACCAAACTCTTCCTCCATGGTATCCATGGAATAGAAGATATTTTCACATAACCCCATACTACTTCACTATGCATATTACAGTTCTTGGATAAACAAAATAAAATTGAAGGAGAAAACAAGAGATGTACAGTGTACCTTAAGACTATGGATTTACTTCACAAGAGTAAAGGGTTATATGGAATTCTGTACCCAGAGGGGCCATATCAATAGAAGCCATGAGTGACTGCTATTACGTGAAACAATACCTTGACACTATCTGGTGGGATGACTAAGCTTGCCGCATCCCTCTCCGTTGACCCCGGTTGCTTGACAAGAAATACCTCTTTTATAGCGCCACAACTACTGAACAGTCGCTTTAAGGAGCCCTAAAATTATTTTCAACCAAACAAAAGTAAGCTTTCGAAAATTATCAATAACATTGCAAATGTTTAAAAGCCACACAACACAGAAAGAAAACGTGGTAGAAAAGCAACAGATCTCACGGCACCTTTGTGCAATATGGGGGAATATTCACGACAAAAAGTGTCTTATTCGGTGGTTTTGTTGTATCTTCATCTCTTGTTGTGTGATTCTTGAAATACAGGTAGTGATAGGAACAATATTTTTCGCTAAACTTCACGCAAATCGTTTGAAACCCTCCAACTTCGGACGCCATTTTGTCGTAGACTAAGTAACCGCGCACACCACCGAGCATGCGTGGTGCTCAATTAAGAGGCCGTCATGGCGGAAACTCTGGAGGATTTGATTGGTACTACATAAACGCTTTTAAATGCATTTGCTTTTGTGTATTTGTAGAATTGAAATCTAAAATTAACTATTTCACAGATAAAGCCACGGATCCTTCTAAAACTAAGGACGGCGTGGACTACTCGACACCAGTATGCGACAGAATAAATGTGGACCTAGATGGGTAAGTTTATGAGTTATAATTCAATTTTAATTTGTGTTGTTACTTGGTTAGAACTTAAAACTTATTTTGATTCACAGTCTGAGCTTAAAATTGTCACTGTTTCTTCGCTAGACCAACAATTGGGATCCGTTACATGGCGACAAAGGTCAAAAGCGCGAGGGAAGACGAGGCTCTTTTAGGACTGGACGTGAGTTTATTTGCTTTATTTTTTCTGCTTTATGAACCACCCTGACCAGCTCATGAAAGTAGAAAATTTGGGTTCAAATAAAACATTTCATATAAACCAGGTGGTAGATGTTTTTGCCCAAAATTATTCGTATTTCACCGAATTGAAGTATATTGCATTTGTAGTTCCTCTTTCTTCTACTGTGTTTAAAAAACCTTCCTGTGGAAGATTCCTTCACAATCTTACGCTTTCTTCAGGCCATGATATCGGGTGATTTGTATTTAAGAGATTTAGCGCTACCATTCTTCCTGTTGGGTTGATTTTGCAAAATATATCTAGTGCTTTTCCAGGCAAGTATGAACAGTAAAACCGAGTATGTGGAGAGGACTGGTAAGGGGTGACAGGTGGTGTTTAGGTGGAAAGTAAAGGGGAAGTTAAGATAATTACTAAATCTCCTGTGTGTATCAGAACTAATCTTTTTTTAAATATTTATCACCAATCAATCAGTCAATCGATCAAGAAAAGAATATATATATCACATGTATGTAAGGTTGAATTTTTAGCATTTAATTGTAATGCGCAATTGAAAATTCTTATATTGATAATTGCGCAATATAAGTCTATAAATTATTATTATTATTATTGTTAAGTTGATAAGCAACTGAGCAAGTAATTAACCATTTTACTCCTGAAACTAATGAGCATTCAATTTCTTGTCACATTAACACCCCTGAATCACGCATTAAGGTTAAGGGAATAAAGGAAATGATCACCAAGTAGGGAAGCTCTTGATTGTTAAACAAATTCTCCTTATCAGCCCCTTAATTGTGACATTTATATAGAATGGTATGGAGAATATTCATGTTGATGTCAGGTTATAGAGGGTTAATCAATCATCAAAAGTAAGTATCTAAGCCGCTGCACCCCTACCCCTACCCCTTCCCCTCCCCTACAGTGTAACTCAACAGCCTAAATTGCTACCAGTCAACTTTTGTTGGGTTAGGGAAGGGGTAAGGTACATAGTTGTTCAGATACTGACATTGATCCAAATAAATAGCTAAATAAACACTTAAGACAATATTATCTGACTTTTAATTATCACTCTAAATTCAAAGTACTGGTAGGAGAATACGAAATAATATTTTTTCTTTTTCTTTCTTTTTCATTCAGTTAATTGAAACCTGTGTCAAAAACTGTGGTCAGAGATTCCACAGTGAAGTTGGAAAATATAGATTCTTGAATGAACTCATTAAATTGATATCTTCAAAGGTATCTATGAAATTTAATACATATATATATTATTAAATGCTTGGTTTCCTTTTTAAATTTGGTTAGTTTTTGATAGTTGTGTCAGGTGCATTTGAAGGTACAGTTGTAAGATGCATTCCCTCAGCAGGTCAGCAAAAAGTGTTTATGAAGGAAAAGTGTCTTAAAAATAAGCAATCACAACTTTTGAAAATCAACCAATTACAATATCTTAGGGTATTCAACCAATCAGAGCAGAACATAATGGGTTATATTGTGATGCATAACCAATCAACATTATCCTCTGAAGAAGACTGGAAGCTTCAAAGTAAAACGTAGCAACCCACTTTGAAAGTGACCAAACCGTGAGAAAAAGAATGATACTTGGTTATGAATGTCAATTTTTTTTCTAATCATGGCTACTTCCCTCAAAAAATTTAAGAGCAATTTTCTCTCAAAATGAAAATGTGAGAGCTAGTCTCAAATTGTTAAGAGGGTTTGCACACCCTGTCTTCTGGTGACTGGAGACAACTGAACTGACCCAGTCTTGCTGTATACAGGTGTCTCAAGAAAGGTTTTTAGAAAAAGTGTAAAAGTGCAGGCGACAGACTTCCAATAGGTATTATGGGCAGTTTTCAGGGCAGGGGTCCTCAACTTCAGGATTTCAGGGAAATCTGAGAAAACTTCACTGTAAGGACCAGGCGTCACAAGTTTTGATAAATTTATTGATCTAATTGTTTGACTTTTTAAAATTCGTTCATTACTGGATACCCAGATTACCTTTTGAGATTGTTGCATGCAATTTTGTCCTTTTTTTCAACAACCTTTCTCAGAATGGCTGTTTAAGGTGAGCATGCCACTTAGTAGCTTATTTGTGAAAAGGTCCTTTCATGTGGTTAAATACATGTAATAGTTTGTGTATAATACATTTCATTAGATTGGCTTGGAACCACTTCATAGGGAAATTTTATGACCTAAATCCACAGCTTGGGTACCCTGGGTCACAGAGAACCCAGTGACAACATTACTTACAAGTACACTATTTTGGGAATCAGTTGTTTTTTTTTTTCATTCATCAGTAATAATGGATAGTTGTTGTTAATAATTATTCTTTTATTCAGTACGATGGTGACTGGACAGCTGAACCAGTGAAGAAACGCATTATTCAGTGTATGTATAGCTGGAGTGTAGGTTTACCAAAGGAGACCAAAATTGCAGAGGCTTACAAGATGCTAAAAACACAAGGTAAAGTGACAGAGTACACTTTATTTTAATGAACATTAACTCTAAGAGGGTATTTCCCCCTTCAGTAGCTGTATTGGGTGGGAAATGATGTCATGGCATGAGAATTCACTTCAGTTAGCCTTTCTTTCATCTTTTTTCTGTTAGTCATGTTATGTGATGGGTTTCGTGTTTTTTCCAGCCAAGCTTGTATATGCTCTAATATAATCTCAGCCATGAATTGAAAATCAATGTTATAGTTTAATCTAAAATTATTTTTCAATTAGGAATTGTTACCACAGACCCACAAGATCCTTATGCTCAAACTGCTGCTGAAGTAAGCAAAAAAGCTGATAGAGATGAAAATGGTCATATGATATTAACATAATTATTGTAACACCTACAATAATGGTAATAGGACTGAGCAGAGTCCAAGTGGAGTCCTACAGGTGATTCTCAAAAGCGAACCACTGTGACTACCCACAGACTTGGACAACATGAAATCTTACCACCAATTAATCAAAACTATGAAAATTCCACTGAGTAAACGTTTTCATTAAAAAAAGAATAGTCAACTTAGGAAATGTGGGGCAACAACATGTGCATGTGAAGCATACTGTCCAATTACACAGGCATGATGTGCACTCTATCCTGTTAGTGCTTATATAGGGCTGGTGATAACCAATCCGTTCGAGAATTTTGTCATAGTTTAATTTATAGTGATATCATTGTTATTAGGGTTTTTAAATTATGAATAGGTGACAGGGATTCTTTGAAACTTTACACTATACTCAGCAGAAAAAAAAAACTTCCTGCTATAGAGGAATGTACATATAGAATGAAAATGGTTTTAGCTTGTATCATGCCCTTTTGTCCTTTTGTCCCTTTGTCCTTTTGTTCTGTAATATTTATGAATCAATGTAATTAATATTAATGTAAAAAAATGGTGTGATAGACATTAAAGAAGTAGTAACTTCTAATGAAATTGAATTTAAATGTGGTTTTCTTTGACAGAATCCTCCTGACAAACCAAAAGATACAATATTCCAGGATGAAGAAAAATCAAAGGTTTGACTTTACTACCTGTTGAGTGAAATGTGTGAACATTGAAGTAGAAGATGAATTATGTTATTTGAAGTGTTAGGGGCTACTTCTTTTATCTTATCATTATTTGACCTACATATTTAGTTGTATGTCAGCTTTTATTAGTGTTTATCAATTTTGAATTAATCTCTTTCTTTTGCTAGCTGCTGGCTCGTCTTCTGAAGAGTACTCATCCCGAAGATTTACAAGCTGCCAACAGACTGATCAAGACCATGGTTAGACAGGTTGGTGCCTACACGGTGTAAGCTGCACACATGGTGTACATGTAGACATTAACGTGACAGCATATAGCCTAAATTTATTTTCAAGTGTTGATAATTATATTTCTCAATAGTGAACAAATCAAATACGTTAGAAATATTACCAACAAAAGAAACTAAATATGGATTTGCAAGTGGACATGTAATTATTTGTTTATTCTGTAGATTTTGATAGCATATTGGAATCAAAGACAGCTTTTGAACACATTTTTAAGAGTACCAAATGAAGGAAAGAAGTTTGGATGTTGGATCAACATGTTTGATGATTTTTTTTCCATTCTAGGATGAAATGAAGATGGAGAGACTGGTGAAAAGAAATACAGAAATGGAAACTTGCTGTAATAATATCAAGCTTCTGACAGAGATGTTGAATCATTATGGTCCTTCTTCTCCAGCCCAGGATAAAGAACTCATGAAGGTACACTGTGGTCTTTTTTTTCTTTTTTCAATTTATGTACCTCATTTGGTTGTAACAAATATTTTCAAAAGATGCACAATGTGACTTGAAAATTGTGGTAAAACAAGAAGCTAAGAATAACTGTATTTAATAAAGGAAAAAAAATAACAGTGGGAAAAAACAGGAAGCCTCATTAGAGGTGGTTTTAAGTGGGGGCCTGGAATTGAAAGAGTAAAAATGTAATAGAAAATTAAAGATACTCTCTAACTGAAAAACTAACCTCCCAAAGTTTTTGTTTGACAGTTGTGAGAGATTTACTGATAGATTTTTGTGCAAAATGTTTACAGGAACTGTATGACTCCTGTGATAAAATGAGACCACAATTGTTTAGACTGGCCAGTTCAGCCACAGAAGATGGCGATGAAGGATTAGGTGAGATAGATTTTAATTAAAACATGTACGATTTTCAGTGGTAAGGAGTTCAAGGAAACAAAGGGCTAAATTTTGATCCAAAAGGACTTACATGTATGCCACCCATTACTAAAAGTGCGAGCCGCTGCTGATCAAGGAACAGATAATTTCTCATTTGCTGGTGAAGCTGCTGGATATTAACTTAAACTGGTTGATTGGAGTTGTTAAGAGTTGACTAATCAGGGTGTTTCAGAGATAGAAGAATTCTCCAGCTATGATGCAGAACTCACTACTTCAGTTCAGTGACTTGAGTTCTTTTTTGTTCACACATGGAGATTATCCTCTTGCTTCTCTAGTCTTTTCTTCAGCAACTAAATTTTTTTATGCAAACCTGACTAATATGCATTAACAATGTGCAAACTATTGCAGCTGAAATCCTCAGAGTGAATGATGACTTATCAAGAGTATTAGAGTATTATAAAAGGATATTTGGATTGGCTCCAGCAGCAACCACTACACCAAGTAGTCCTGGGCCAATTTCTACAACCCAGACAACAAATTCTGAAGTCAGTTCTCCTACTGGTGCTTCCACTCTTATTGATCTGGGCTCTGGAGGCCAACAGGGAACGTCAATGGAAACTCCAGCATCCAGTGTTTTGGAAAATGAACTTAAAGCCTTAGGTCAGTCCTATTTGGTTGATTTTGATATCTATTAATTCATGAACCCTCTACACCTAAACATCAGTATTATGAAAGTTCTCTGTACTGTTCTCTATACATTCCCTATGTTACTTAGAAGGAGAATTTTTTTTTTAACAATCAAGAGCTTGTTGGGTTTGTGATCATTTCCTATATACACCTCAACATCAGTATTATGAAAGTTCTCTGTACTGTTCTCTATACATTCCCTATGGTACTTAGAAGGAGAATTTTTTTTTTAACAATCAAGAGCTTGTTGAGTTTGTGATCATTTCCTATATTCACCTTAACATCAGTATTATGAAAGTTCTCTGTACTGTTCTCTATACATTCCCTATGGTA